TCTATTTGCATATTATTTTAAATTATCCATTAAGTGATGCTGAAATTTAACTCCAACTGAACCTATTGACTCTTAAAACTTCCACTTATCACAATTCAGTTACCAGATTGGTTTTTAACATTGTTTCCTTGCTTTGGACATTTATATGCCTTTGCAATAACAAGAAACTTCAAAGCAAGCTAACATTATTTCAAATAATAATTATAAAACACTTCTTTGCAGCTTAAACTCTAGATTCTAAGCTCATAAGGAGTAAAAGGATTTCTTGCTTTCCATAACCATGCTAATTCACCAAAGGAATTGCACCAAACTCTTCATGGGAGATTTTTTTTCTACTAATGCACCTTCCTCAAAATAAGTGCTATGCACTACTTATTTGCAAATCACAAATACCCAAAATACAACAAAATTGAAGTTAAACAGTTGCCACAGATGACTTTCTCAGGAAACATTATCGCTCTGCATTTTACTCTCACAATCAATTAACTTGTCCTTCCAAATCTTACATTAAGAAAAATACTGACAATAAAACAAGAAAGAAGATGCATTTAGAAATCAAAGGGAGAAATCTATGGAAGCAAAAGGAAGAGCGATCGATTTAAGAAAGAAAGGGGGAGAATAGGGAAGAGAGTAGACAAATTAGTAGGACATAGAGAGATCAGAATAGAGAAATAGAAGGGGAAACAAAGGGGAATGAGAGATGAAAAACAAATAGGAAATTACTTAGCACTAAAGAAGCATGAAATAAACATTAAAGGAAGGTTATGGAAAGGCATAGACAAGACTAGGAAATATAATCTATTTATATATTAAAGAATTAAGAGTTCTGAGCAATTGGACTAAATTGATTTAATGGGATAGTCATTCTGGTTTAATTTATCACTAACCGTACTTTGTGTAAAGTTCTAGGCTCTTTTAATGAGAAGCAGTGATAAGCTTCGCCATATCCAAGAATAAAAACGCTCTTGTCCTCACTTGCCATTTTGCTTTGTAAAACATCATCACATTAGTACAACAAATGCATAAGATGAACCAGAAGCATACATATGTTCTATTTGCCTAAAATTCAAAAAGCCAAATAAAAGTTTAGTGCACAGAACAAAGTAACAAACAATAAATAAAATGACAAGAAAACAACAAACTTTAAAGCACCCCTTTTGCCAGAAGGCATTTCATGATTCTATGTAAATTGTCAATATAACAACATATCTGTGTATTGGACTTACCATTGACGGGATTGCTACTTGGGAACTCAAATGCACCAGGAGGAAGTGGATCAAATTCAATACCAGTAGTGGACCTTCTTCTTGATAAATGCCTCCCAAGCTGCCTCTTAACAGCAGTAATAGCAGGATTTTCATTTCCACCCTTAACCTTTAAATTATCCTGATGGCTTATAACCCATGCTTTTAGCACTCCTAGGGTTTATCTGCATAATTGCTCCATTTTTCTGCAAGTTTAGCAGAATTTTGCATATCGTAAGGGTCCCTATTTTCAGAAAAAGTTGATCATGTAAAGACAAACTACTTCAGAAGATGTATCCTCCATCTGAGCATCATGTGGATTTTGATGACTCCTACGCTCATATTTGAGGTCAGCAGCTGGAAAATCTTTGGCCATAAATCCTTTTGACTTTCAACCTCCCGGTCGGCATCAATATCCTGTAATCACCCTGCTTAAATTACTGCCACAAGAATCTGCCTGGACCCACTACCCCACGATCCTGAATAACACCACTAGGAATGATCCTGTCGCCCCATTAGATCGGCTCATCTCTCTCTTTTGTCTTTACCTTCTATGACAAAACCAACTAGATATCTGCTTTTCTGTCAATCCCTAGTCTGAACTGCCAGTTGTTGCTTCATTTCATCTGAAGTGAAATCTATCTGGTGCTCTTGGAAAAGAACCCAAAACTCCCTTTTGAAACATATGAAAGTGAATCATTTAATAAGATGAGAAGAGAAGGAATTAATACCTTGTGTAGAAGCTCTCCAGAGCCCGAACCCTGGGCTGGTGTCTTTGAGCGGTCTTTTCTTAAACACATCTAGAGAAACTTTTTCTCTTAGTCTGCACTTCACCTGATCTAAAATGATTGCAGAGAAGTTAGAAACCAATGTATTGAGATATGATAGCATTAAGCATGATAGGGATAAAAATAGTTAGAAATTTGTTTATAAATTCGCTGCTATGCTTTATATAGAAATCAGAGCCATCACAGATATATATGCTGGATTACTTTCACCAAATGAGACGAAGTCTAATAGTTACTAGCCAACTGCATTAAATAGTGTATAACAAGGAACAGGGAATCAGCTTAATAAAAAGTAAAAGTAAAACAAAAACAAAAACCTCATTTAAATTACTAGGAGTCAGAACTAACAATTTCACTATATTCCCTCAGCCAATTTATACACCTTCAAATTTGTTAGATTAAACTCACTGCAATGTCACATTTACATACAATCTTCTTCTTGATATCTCTCTCTTGTTTTTAGGAGTACCTGTGGTTATGACACTTTACTTGACCAAAAAATTCCTGTGGTCCCCCTCCCCTCCCCCCCCCCCCCCCCCCCCCCCAAACCAAAACTTAAGCAAACCCATCTTTCCACATTCAGCTAGCTCTAAAAGCCATGTCTAGATATCATTAAGAACCACAAAAAAATCATTACATCAGAAAAGCAAACACCTTAAGGGTGGTATGAAACCTAACATAATAATGGATTTTAATGCCACAGTAACATATGAAAAGGAACCACCTCCGACCAATTACATGACCTTATGAATAAGTTGCCTTCCTAAGTCATTAACTTACTGAGGTTTCTCAATTGATGTTAGCTAGCATTTCCTTCCATTAGGGAACTTTTGCCTTTACCGATAAACTTTTGCACATCTCATCCAACATTCCAGAGAAATTGACCTTTAAATATCCTTTGATCCCATCTTCAAGAGAACCAAATGAAGAAATTCATGGATCACTTGTACGTTTATTGAAGTACAAAGAAGTTCTCAAATCTGTCAGCTTAAGGTATTTGACTAATTTCACACTTGACATTCAACTATGTGTGAGGAACTGAGGTTAGCAGCTTATGCAGATTATCCATAACACCTACAACATGATTTCACAGAACATGCTATCCATTGATACATCACCTACCAATTCAAAAATATCCTAATGTCCATGATAGAACCATACTTCCAATCTGCAGTTATAACAACACTCTAAAGGAAACAGAAAGGAAACATGCAACCTTTAGAAACAAACATACGAATATAACTTACTATAAAAGCAAAGACATGAACAAATTTGCATATTTCCAAGTGATAAAACAACACTAATCGTCATGATTAGGCCAGGCTTAGTGGTTGTTATCGCTGGCGGCTTCTCACAATGATTAGGTCAAAGGTTTAGGATCTCCCTTCCCACAGTTTGGGCTCCTCTCTAAAGTACCAAAAACAACATTAAATCATTGGGAAAAAAAAAAGAAAAATACATTCCAAGCAGACAATACAAAAATTAAAAAAAGAAAATCATAGCTTTTTTGTGGAAAAAAACATGGATAGAATTTTCTAATTCTTTCTCCATTTTCCCAACAACCAAACACCGCCCATCCCCTCACCAAGAAAAAAAATTACAAATGCTGCCAGGCTTATTGTCCAAACATTCCTCTATGCATGTAACTTTCTTGACAGAATACAGTAAACCCACAATTAAGAAACCCAAAATTTTAACTTTACACTTCAATACCAAAAACTCAAAATTGGAAGCATTAACAACAGAAAATTAAAGACCCGAATCTCAAAATTTTTTATCTGAGATTGAGAAACGAAAGCTTTACCTTCCATAGTTTCGATATTTTTTTCTTGGTACCCTTTGTTTTTCTTCAAAGTTTTGTCCTTTGATTTGACCTTAAAAAGGGACCTCCATTTTTGCGAAGCAAAATCTGGGTCTTCAATTTCAGAAGCTTTTAGAACTCAATGGTTTTTCCTTTCTTATTGCTTACATTACATTACATTTTAATTAATTTACTCATGAGAGAGACAGAGAGACAGAGAGAGAAAGCGAAGGAGGGAGAGAGAGAGAAATTCCTGAGGAAGAATGAAAAGATAAAGAGTAAAGGAATTTTTTTTTTTTTTTTTGGTTTCGATTTTGCTTATTTGATTCAATTAGTATAATTCAACGGTTGGGTTTTGGTTTTGTTTTAATTAAAACCCAGTTTTGGCTCTTTTTGTCTATCTTTTTCTTTTTTTTTTCTGTTTAAAGTTATTTTAAGTCTCCATTTTCCTTCCCAGAAAAATTAAATCAAATATAGATATTGTAGCACCAGCAGTTGTGAAATAGAAGTAAAGATCAAAATCAAATCACCAGAAACACCTCACTAATATATGATGATGATGGGGCAGGCAGGGCCAAGCCTACTACCATTGGGCCAACCCTCCAGCCATATAAAATTTGTACCACTCACTAACGATATAAATGAAATATAAATGATTTCAGTTCTTTTTCTTCTTTGAATGATATTTTTATATTATTGCAATAAAAGTTAGGTAGCACAGATTCCCTAAGCAAAATCATATGTTGCAATGAAATTGTTGAATGAGATGACTCCATGAATTTAAAGAATACACGAAAAGAATTGGACGGATTCAGTTTGGTTGAGCAGTTTTTTCATGAAAGTTGCTTTGACAAGTTTGTGTATAAACTGAAAAGTATTCCAACCTTTTCATGAAAGTTAGCAGCAACGTTTTGCTTGACCAATAAAATATTCAGCAGCTTTGAAAAACAACAGAAAAGCATTGATGAGAAATGCTGATCGGCAATACAAGCATTCAGCATGATTTTTTTGTTTTTGTACAAAAAAAAAAAAAAAAGATAGTAGGGAATACAAATGCCAGAGTTTAAATTAAAACAAATTGGATGTTACTTTTTGAAAATATTGCATAAATTAGGTGACATATGTATCAATGTGAAAAATGAGAAAAAAAAAAAAAAGAGGTGGGGCAAATAAATAATTTTCCAAAAAGAAAGTGTTTATGGATCTAAATACAATGTGAACATCTATGAAAATTGGAATTGAGTAAAAATGAAAGTAATCTTGCTTAAGAGGCTAAATATTTCTTTCTTGCTTAATTCCAAAATCTGTTACAATGGTTTTGCAGTAGAACAAGTTAGCCAAGATTGACCTTAAAGTAAACACTATTTCCTTTTTCAAGCTAAAATAGTTTCGGTGTCTGGTTGGCTTCTATAACTCATTCGACCTTCTTGCTAGATTTGTCATCGCTACCTTGTTGAGACGTAACTGCAGTCTTTGACTCATCAAACTCCAATAACTGCACATTGTGATAGATCATATTAACCAAATTACAATCCGAATATAGAAGATAATCACTTCATTAATCAAATTCCTAACTGAATAGCAGAAACAGTTATAACTAAAGAACATTCCACACATAAGATACTTGGCATGATCGTCAGACTATTGATTCTTAACTTTGTAGGCAATCTATAACATAGAATATTATTTAGCATACCAATTTATACAAAATTCTGGGGGTTATCATTTGGATCTAAAACAGTCAAAAACCCCTTGTAAAGCAAAATTTAATGCTTAACTCGATATCATATAGCATAAGGTCCTCCTACATGGAGCATGAATTTCACTTTCTTCAATTTTTCCTAGACTTGGACATAACTGAACCCTCAATCCTATCCCACAGTCAATCATACTCTCATTCTTTTTTTTTTCATTAACATTACACCAGATTCTCTAGTTCAAAATCCTCCAAGACTTTTGCAAGCAAGAGATGACAATAGTACTTGTTGCTAATCCTAGAAAAACCGGGTAATAAAAACAAATTTTTACAATAAGAAGCCAACTCTTACATAGAATTATGTTTTTTTTTTCACTTTTTCCTTTTACAAGCAAAAAGACAATTTGAAAAGAATTGAATTAAAAAGTACAAGCCAAGAACATAATGCCAGAGAGAATCAAACAAGGGTGGAGAACATACCGGTTTGACTTCTCCATTCCATATACAGTGAGCAGCCAAGAATCCAATAACAGCTGGTACAATATACAAAAGTGCGGGCTGAAAGCACAATGAGCATAGCAGATCATCAGGTTGTCACATAGAGAGTGAGTGTATATCCACAGGATAAAACTTTCACTGGATACAGCTCACATGCTTTAACAGGAAGAGAGGATAAAATAGAGGGTCATGAAGAGTTTACCTGCGCAGCTTGAAACCAGTTCATGACAACAATTGTAAGGACCAATCCCACTATGTATCCCAAAAATGCACTCTTAAAATACTGGCTCTCTTTCCCCCTAGATACATCAAATCTTAATGCTAGTGCTACAAAAATACCTACAAGGAAGAAATAAACAAATATGAAAACAGAAAATATTGATCATACCTTACTCAGTTTCTTATAGACACATACATAACTCTATAAAGTTTTTAATGTTAAACGAATAATGACCAATCAAATGGAAACTAAAAGGAGAAACAATTTTGTTGAGCCCAGTAAATGTACATTTATCAACATATTCGTGTATGTTAATAACCAAAAAAAAAGTCATAAATTAAAAAGTTAATCATATTTCACTCAAGAATAAGTGGCATTAGGAAAACACCAGCATTTGATAGTATCGCTGCCCAGGACGCCTATCCTAAAAACAATGATGATACAGCAATTTAATAAAAAAAGATAAGAAAAAATTAAATAAAACGCCTATATAATCAAACAACATAAGTCAAATGGGCTACAGCAGTAAATGAGATCATACTCTAGAAATAGAATACATGAGTTAAAAAGAAGCACTCAAGCATATAATCTACGAATTTTTTTAAGCCATTTAACACGCTCTGTGTGAGCTTGAATTATTATGTAAGTCTTGAATTTCAATGCATATAAATAAAGTTTTATCAAGACAAATACATCAGACCTCTAGATATAAAACAAAATACAATTAGGAAAGGAAACGGTCATTTTGATTTCTCCTGGTTCCACATTCAAAATCTTAGAATGCTACTCTCTAATTAGAATGACAATGTAATAGAACAAGAAACCCTAAATAAAAGCTCACGTCATAAAACAGCATGCATTAGACCTACCAACTAAAAATGGATTTCAAACCTACCAGGAATTACAATGTCACCAAGTCCAAGCATGGAAAATGGTCGTGCAGAGTCTGCTGTTGGGAACAAAAGCTGCAGAAAAGTACTAAAGCAATTAGATCACCAAGGATAACAAATTTGATAATACATTGAAAACATAAAGTATATACATCAAATCAAAAGCTAACCAGGAAAAGTATTTCAGATAAAAGAAAAAAGAACTGACCTTTATAGGAGCATCAAAAGACTTCGCAACACTAACCATTACAGGAGTGAAAAAAACCCAGAAAATATCATATACAAAAAGCCCACCCTGCAAGGTATAAAGATGGCAAAAATCATATGAAAGAAAAGATAGTTGAACATGAAAGGCAAGTAAATGAAAGGGTCAAACATAGCTTTGCAATTTAGCTAACAAAAACATAACTTTGAAATTTGGCTAACCAGAGCAAACTAACAATAACCTCAAAACAAGAAAGAGTGTTGGCAGAAAATATAAGATAGAAGCTGCAAGGATCAATTCAAGTCGCTGTCAAAGAAGATTGCTAAGAAAGGAAATTGGGTCTACAGATCAAAATCTTAAGAATAAGCAACTATAGAAATGTTGTCTAATTCATAGATCATGATCAGCTAAAAACATGCAAATTTTGCTAAATTGAAAAAAAAAATTCATATAAGGAAGTTAACTTGTCTCAATAACAGTGAATAATACTTCCCATGAATAAACAAACTAACTAAAACCACTAATCAACTTCTTACCAAGAGAATGGCACCAGTCCTAAAAGATCCAAGAGAAAGCATTTCAATTCCCTGCAAAAACCAACAACAAACCTTCAAACCACCAAGCCTAGTTAATATGTGTAATCCACTTGACCAAAAAAAAAAAAAAAAAAAGCCATAAACTTCAATAAATGGAGGGAAAAGCAAACAAGGTGATGAAATATAGATAAATCATAATAGTCTTCATAAATTTATTAAAAGATAAATAAAAAGAAACTTTCAAAATCATTGAACTGCTCAGTTGAACACCAGCCACAAATTTGACAGGATCAACCATATGCAGATAAATCATTTCAAAGTCAAAAACTAAACTTATGTGAAACACTGTAGCAAAAGATGAACCGAAGTCTGTTAGACGATTTGAACGCTGGGGCAAAGAATTTTCCGTTTTTGTGATATGATCATCCAAAAGTACTTTTAATCTAACAGAAATACGAACTTCCAAATTACGAGTTTGCATACTGACAAGAAATATACCTAATAAATATTGTTTTCTCTGGGTCCGATTGCAAAATCATAGAAAAGGAAGTAGATAACAAACAACATATAACTCATTAATCAGAAATCCTCATTCATTAACAAATAGAAAAGTCAATAAAACAGGTATTTCAGCCAAACCTGAATGCAGAAAGCAAGACCCAGAATGTTATTAGCCAGCCAATGCTTCTGCGAAGCGTACCATGCACAGAAAAAGGTTCCAGGGATTGCAGCTACGACCTGAGATCTTGTGAACTCAATCTCAAAAGCTGTTTAAGAAAGGTGCGAGGAAAAACATTAATCTGTATAATAAAAACAAGATAATGTTTACTAGATCAAATAAGAATTCTACAGAATTAATGATGGACATAACTGAATATAGATGTACTCAACTTTAAACAGGAAAAAGTTACAGCACTCAAGCAAAAAATTAACACCTAAAACTCAAATCATTCACAGAAATTGGCATTCAGCCTATTCCAGAGGCAAACCTGGCAGCTTTATATAGCACAAAACCAGAGTGATTGTAAACTGCCAAAGGAACGTAAAGTCCCCAGAAAGGTATCATGACAATCAAAGAATTAATTCCAATTTGGATTTATGGAAATTGCAAGAGCAAATCCTGGAAACAAAGTTGAGCTGGAGCTTTGGAGAAACTACCAAATTATATAAAAGCCAAAAAAAACTTAAATGCACCTAGTATCCTTTTAAAAGAAAGAAGAAAAATAAAGTTCCCCCTATCTCCATGTAACTTCCTTCCCCACACAAGAAACTCATCCAAGGTAATTTTCAAAGAAAAAAATGGCAAATAACAGAAAAGCACTGAATCAGGAAGAAACACTCAAGAATACAAATACATTCAGAATCTTTCAATCAAATATCAATGATGCTTGCCTTGATAAAAGATGCAATAAAGCCAAATAAACCAAAAAATGTCATAGAGAAATAATAAAAGAATAGAGCCAAATATGGCACACGAAAGAATATGTATAGGTATCAAATTATACATTTTTAAAGTAGAGGTACCACATTTGGAAGTTTATTATAGAGGCCAATATGACATTATTGCGAATAATAAAAGAAGGGCCATACATCGGAAGTATGGAAAATGCCAAATGATATGGTCCTCATTCCAATGCTTTGGCAAGAAGCGTCTTATGGCAGGCAATATTGTTGCCCTGAGAATGATAACAGGAAGAATAAATGAGATAATGAAACAATCAGATATGACATCATGTGAACTAGTTTTGTAAAAGTCGAAAAACAGTAGCAAATCCATACGGAAAGAACATACGAAAGAGCAACGATTCCAAGCACAAAGAAATAGCATGTCAATACTGCATTAACCAAGTCTTTTGATAAGAACTTGAAAAGCAAGAAAAGCGATAACAACATTGCACTCCCAACAAACGGAAAACGCATTGCATGCTCATTAGACATTGTCTCCTGTATGATAGACATAACATTGTTAGCCAATGTTGATCTGAACTCGTTAATAATAAAACAAGAAGGTGGAAAAATTATTTTAAATGCTACCATACTCACCGATGGTGGAGTTGGCTTGACAGAACGATAGCAGCCTGCATATACTGTGAGGCATGCAGTCAAAATAACATTCAAGTTGGGGTCTACCTTCACAAAAAGTGGTGTAAACGTCAACCCTGCATTTAGTAAATCATTGACACTATGTTAAAAAGAGTCAAAGCTTCTTAACCCTGTGGAAATGGAATATGCATGTGCCTCCTTAGAGATCTCATATCTGACAGTGACTTATCACATGAAACGCCCTTGGTTCCATGTATTCTCTAAAAGAATCAGCCACAAGGCCGATATCATTTTTTTTTTCACCAGTATATTGAGCAAGAGTCATGAAGTAAAATATAATATTGCCCAATAATGCATTTGGACTGAGAAATTTGGGGATATCCATGCAAAGTGCAAGCATTTGGTTGTTGGTTTTGCTAATTACTTTTACGTTGATAAAAAGTCACTTAAAAGAAAAAGAAAGAGCAGAGAACAAAATCATATTTAATTAACATAAGCAAATGGTTAAAATGTAATGTGAATTCCAACATAATTGTTTCACATAAAACTACACTCATGCATTTTATTACTTCTTACTTGTTCAAAAATATTAATTTTTGTGTCCAAAGCAACAACCAAACAGAGCCTAAAATTTCAATTCCTTTTCAAGGTTTTCAAAATTGCAAAGATTCAGCAACCAATAAAATGTAATTCCTTTAAATTTTCCACGTATAATCTGTAATTTTATAAATAAAACATAGATCATTCATACCATAAAATAACAAAGCTAACCCATTTCTACCCAAATTACACATTCCCAATATTGGGAAAAAAAGAGTCAAATTTCACCCCCAAATCACTTATTCCCATCAGTTCTCTTCCCTTGTTTGCCACTCAAACCCGAAGACACTGTAACTAACTAAATCTTCTCTGCTCCTACTCAACTAAATTCAAAAACTGAATAATGGAATTGAACAGAAATTATGCAAAAAAAAAAAAAAAAAGAGCTCGTTCTAAAACAAATCAAAATGTAAATAATAAACTAAAATTAATCAGGAATAGATCAAAAAAGACAAACCCGCTAAAGCCAAATTGGCGAGTCTTTCAGTGCTCTTCATCGTCGACGTTTATTTCTAATATAACAGCGACAAAAATTCGAACTCGGTTTAGGCCACAAAGAAACAAAAAACCCTAAATATATAATAGATCGAAACAATTTAATGAATTAGTAAAGAAAAAAACGAAAACAAAATCAAGATTAGAACCTTCGATTTAATGTCCCTCCGTTGCTCTCTCTAACAGTCGTTGGAGTTTTACAGATCCGAGATGGCGGAAATGAGAGCAAAGCAAAGAGATAAATAAAAGAAAAAATTAAATACTTTTTTATTCTTTTTCTCAGATTGAGGGAAAATTTTAGAGAATTTGATTTTTTTATAGAGACCGGGTTTTTATTTTTACTTAAGGAGGTCAAAGTAGGAGTTAATTTTGTTGCTATTTGTGAGGTGCTGTCAATTTGAAATATTGTGACTTCCAATAGGAAAGCAGTTGTGGTTGGAAATTTTGCAAAAGAGTAATTTTGCTGGGATCAGTTTGACGCGTGGCTTGAAATGATTGGATTTTCGTAAGAGAGTTGGTGCGACTCTGTTACCGGTGAGGGTTTATAATAAATTAGGGAAATCCAGGTGAAAATGTATGTCATAAAGAAGTTGACAGATTTGGGTTCGTCTTGTTTTTTAAGTGAGCCACGTCCATGAGGTGCCATCTCCAATCAGTTTTTGCCACATCATCTTTCAAAAATATCTGTGTCTCGCCCCGTTTCGCGCTGTTTCACTTTTTTTATTCCAGTGAAGAAGACTAGAGCATTTTGAATACCATGTCCAATCTCTAACTAAGCAACTGTATCCGACGAATCGGTGACGTCGAACCTTTCCAACAGTATCCGACGAATCTGACACAGATCCCAAGTCCTTTTAGGTGTCTAGTCGTGTCGATGCAGAATGTAACTTCAATCTATGCAACGGCAGATTAACAACTTGTGAAATTGATACAAAACGTTTGAACCTATTGCAACTCGCTCATGTCACGGCTACTCTTTCGAAATCTCCCTCCCAAAATTCTCTTCCCTTCCCAATCAAAATCACAAACCTAATTTTGATTTTAGAACTCTTCAAACCCTAGAATCCCCATCAAATAGGGCACCGGATCCTTTCATGGTGGGGAAGATTCTGTTCAGTTTAAAGCAAGGTAATACGAATTTTTTGCGTGATTATCAATTTCGATTAAACCCATTGATTGCAGTTAAGGTGTCGAATTAAATGTTTATACGTTAAATATTATGGTTGATGCTTTGTGTAAAGATAGCAACATCAGTGGCCTAAGGCACTTCAGAAATGAAAGAGAATGACGTTTATTCCGATATAGTGACATAAAAAAAATAAAATAAAATAAAAAGAACATTGCCGTGAAAGGCATTTGGAAGAAGCTTTTGAGTTGATGAACTCACTGGATATCAAATAAAGGGTTGAAACTAGGTCTTTTTACTTAATGCCATCATTTAATTTTCAAAGAGCGAAAGAAGTTTTAAATGAGATGCTGCAGATAGAGTTGAGTCCTCATACAAACACCTATGACATATTTCTTGCTGAGAGTCGTAGAAAAAATAATATATCAGAAGCTGAAGACATTTTCAATGAAATGTTGCGTCGGTCGAAGTGTCGTTCCTGATTTGCTCAGCTTTAGTTCACTTATTGGGGTATTTTGTAGAAATGGACATTTTGATTAAGCATAATATGAAGAGAGTTGGCTTGATTCTTATAAACCGGTATTGCAGAAATGGTGTCATGCCGGAGGCTTTGAAGATCAGGGATGTAATATGAATGTTGTCACTTACAATACCATTTTGGATGGGCTATGCAGGGAGAACATGCTCACTGAAGCAGACAACCTATTGCATGAGATGGCAGAAAGGGGTGTTTTCCCTCATTTTTACACTTTCACAATGCTCATTCATGGACATTAATTGTAAGGATGGAAATAATATGAAGAAAGCTCTAAATGCTTTTTGTGTTTTTTTTATCATTTAAGGGGCAGAGCCCTGTATTAAAGGAAAGAGGGGAAGGTTGGGGTTTAAACCCCGACTTTAATGTCTTCTTTAAGTTTGTTTTGGCCACTAGGCTAAGCAGCCGAAGACTAAAAATTTGTTTGATTCAATGACTCAAAGGAATATTAATCCTGACACTGTGACATACAACACCTTAATTGAAATGGAGAAAGCCAAGCCGCTTTGTGCTGGTATGATCTCAAGAAAGATTCTTCCTAATCGCATTTCTTATGGAACTTTGATAAATGGGTTTTGCGGCATAGGTCATGTTCTGGAGGCATTCAGGTTGTGGAAATGGTATTAAGCCCACTCTTGTGACTTGTAACAGTATCATAAAGGGCTATTGTCGATCAGGTGATCCATCAAGAGCTTATGAGTTTCTATCCAAGATGATCTCATCAGCAGGAATTGTTGCTGATAGCATGACATGTACCACTCTTATTAATGGATTTGTCTAGGAAGAGAATATGGACAAAGCTTTTGTTTGGATTAATGAGATGGAGAATCAAGGGCTTCACCCTTTGACTTCATCAAACGGGGTTTTAGTGAAAATTAATTAGATGATTTACAACTCTTGAAGGATAATAGAGTTTATGGTTTTTAAAACTACGAAAAATTGCTTAAATCATTAAAAGCAAGAACTAGAAATGCTAAGAACAACCTGAAAATTAAACAAAGACAACTCTTTCTGAATTAAAATGAATTGAGATTGAATGGATTCTAGTAAAGAGAAATCTTATTGATTGAAGCTTTCAGTCACAGAAATTGTGTGAACTCAATATAAAAGATACGAAGAAGTAAATGTTGATTGATCGAACATTTAAAGACTTATGATAGTCATCCAATCAGACAAGTTTATCACTGACAATAGAACTTGTTTACAAAGAAATTGCAAACAGAGAGCCTACAAATGCGAAACAAATTTGGGAAAAAGTTGGAAACAAGAAATAAAAAGCTGCTGGGGCTTACATATATTGAGCTTGACATGTGTGGTAGGGGTGTTTTTTTTTCTTTTTTGGGCAATTATTGGCTGACTTAGCATTCAACGGCGTCAGTTTCTTTTTTTCCCACAAATAATGCCAAACCTGTCAACATAATCTCAGTAGCTGACATGTCCTTATCTTGCTACTTGTCAAATATTAATAGAACTAATAATTCGTGTATTTATGTAATATAAAATATTATATTTATATATTTATATTATATTTTATATAAAAATTATGTATTATAATTTATATCAAAATAAAAAAAATTAAATATGTATTTTTAAAAAATTTATTAAATTTATATATAATTATTATTAAAATTTTAAATCATGTTATTTTCGTATTCAATTTTTATATTCATATTCGATTATTTTATCGTATTTTAAATTATCAAGTTTAAATATCAATGAATATGACAAAATGACATGTTATTCCTTTTGCCAAATCATTCTAACCTGCCACAAGTCTTTCTTGAATTAACCAATTACTTTTTGTGTGTAAAGAGAAAAACATATAAACTTTAATCCTTTTAAATAAAAAAAATTATATTGGATCAAACCTAAATTAATTATTTAGAGTGACAATGACTAAAGATTACAATACAAGCCACCTTGGAATTAAGCATACGTGGTTTTAGCGGTTTTAATGCAAGGCTGATTTCTTTGAAAAATATTGTAATTAGTGGATAAGTTTTGGTCTGATCATATAGCATATTGGCAGCTGCACATTTCTTTTTCAAAATGACATTAATTAATACATTTGCATTTGGCACTTGCTTTAATTCATGTGACTTTTTCAAGCCGTGTTGAAAAAAAAAAATCATGTGAAATTCATGAGCAGTCATCTTCACAAATAAATAAAATATAAGATAAAAAATGAAAGGAGTTTTAACACATATATATATAATAATTTTAAACACATGATATGATATAAAAATTATATAAAAAGATATAAAAATAATATTATTTAAAATTGTAGCAAAATCATATATTAATTTGGCAAAAACTCAAAAAATATTTCATATTTAATGTATCAATCTACAAATTATGATATAATAATTTTATATTTGACATGAAATAAATATAATATTAATACAAATTGTGATTTCTTCATGGATTATAGAACATCATTGTCAAATAAATTTACTGCAAAGTGGATAGACAGTTGTAATTTATATATATATATATATGTTAATTTAATAATTTTAAATATAATTTGATGATATAATATGAAAATTATATAAAAAATAAAAATAATATTATTTAAAATTTTAGCAAAATCTTATATTAATTTGATAAAAACTCAAAAAATACTTCATATTTAATATATCAATATAAATTATGATATAATAATTTTTATATTTGACATAAAATAAATATAATATTAATACTTGAATTGTAATTTCTACGTAGATTATAAGAACATCATTGTCAAATAAATTTATTGCAAAGTGGATAAACACTTGTAGTAATGATGGTGGAGATAATGGGGAAAGTCAAAATTCAGTTTATTTCAATGGCAATTTACAGTTTATATATATTTCCTAAAACCTAGATTTTGTGGGCGGAAATTAAATTATAAGCAGCATATAGTTTTGCAGAATTTGACCAGATTCACAAATTCTTTCTATCCCAGTTAAGCAAAACAACGATCATTAATTAATGATAAAATATTATTCCATGGTTGAATTTCCAATTTTTTTGTTGATTATTATATATAATATTGCGTGTTCAAATTCTCACGTCTTAAATAAAATTACGTGATTTTTACTTCTGTCCATGATCAAGTAAAAATAATAATCATAATAGTAATAAAATTAAATAATATTCAATAAATTTAAAATTTAAATCCAAATAACTAAAATTTTGAGAGAAAGAAAGCCGGCATTGCTGACCGACGAACCCATCAAACTCTATAAGACAACAAATATGGACTTTCTCCAAGTCAATCCTTCCCTTTCCCTTATCTCCTCTTCTATATAAACGCAGGCCTTCCTCTTGTTTGTTTTCTCTTGTATGTAAAGATAATCTTAATTACCCCTCTCTGTTTAATTCATCATTTCTCATTCAGATCATATATATAATATGGGCAATTCAATATCTCCATGTTTCCAACAAAACCCAAGGTCTTTAGTGAAGCTGATTTTCTGGGAAGGAAATACAAGAATCTTAACGGGAAAGCATATCGCCGGCGAGGTCATGTTTGAGTTTCCAGACAGGATGGTTTGCCATGCAGATTCTTTCTTCATTGGTCACCCCATCCCAGCTTTAGCCATAGACGATGACCTCATGCCAGGCCAAACTTACTTTGTTCTTCCCCTCGATCGCTTTGCATGCAATAATGTCTTGTCAGCTTCTTCCCTTGCTGCCTTAAACTCTAGCTCTAAACCAGCTCCAGTCAACTTTGGTCAGTGCCCTTTTGAGTATGTCAAAGATTCCCATGGTAGGGTTTTGATCAAGGTGGTGCCTGAGTTTATAACAAGGTTGATCAATCATAGAAGCAAAGAAGAAGGAACTGGGAGTCCTGGGAATAGTTTTCTTTGCAGCACTCCGGAGTTGAAAAAGCATTACGAGATGCTTGTTGGTCCTAAAGAACAAGTTTGGTCGCCTAAACTTGAGACGATTTCAGAGTATAAGATCAGGTTTTCACCTTGCAGGTTCATAGGGTTGGAGTGGAAACAAAAGGAGAAGCAATAATAGTTTATAATTTCTAATCATTTCCTATGGATATAGATGTTTCCATTAAAGGTAAAAGGAGATATTTGATATAATTTTTCCTTTTATCATAATGGTTTCCACTTTGTTGTACAAACATAATTATAGCATTTGTTGAAAGATTTCTGCCCTTTTAATTGTTAATACTGAGAAATATTATTATTAAAAATAGATATTGTTCTTTGCGATCAATATTGATCTTAATTTAATTATCTTGTAATTATTCATTAAATGCTTCAAAATTTCACCAATCTATATGGAAGTTAAATATATCTTTGCTGCAGCCATTTTATCAGGGGTTTTAGATTCATTCATATGATAGCAAAACAAAAACCTAAATCAAACATTTATGAAAAGAATCTGCCAAAAATTAAGCAAATGAAAAACTTCTGGCTGTGAAATCAATGAGTTTGTCATAAAGTGGATTAAATGGTTGATGACATGTTGAATGTATTAATTAATATCAAGAAGCAAAATAGAGGGGAACAAGAAAATGGAATCATATAAAAAAAAAAAAAAACACTAATATATGAGAACGGTTAGTTTTATATATTTTTTATCTATTGATTTCAATAGATTTTAAAAAATGAATTAAACCATTTTTTCTTATTTTTACTTGTCTCTCTCTCTATTAGATCTATTAAAATTAATAATTAAAAAAATATATAATTTTTTTTTAATTTTTCACATTTTAAATTTATCCCTCTTCCTAATATATATATATATATATATATATAGACACATACACTATTATAGCTATAATTATATATGTGAGAGATGAACTATAATTTATACATGAAATGAATAATTATGTTCTTTCATATATATGATTTTGCTTTCCCATTTGGCTAGGGAAATTATATTGGCCTTACCAACTGCTTTATAATTAATCTATCAATAAAATATTAAATTTTAAATTTTAAGATTTAAATTCTAAAAGTTTTAATTATAAAAAAAAATAAATCAGCCTTTATAGTTTCTTTATATATGCACGGAAATTAAAATGTTAAAAGTAATCTAACCTTAATTTAATTGTTTCATGAATTAATTTTTAAAAAATGAGAAAGTCAAATCTCAATACCGTATACCAAACAAATTAAAATGTTACAATGCCCTTACGAGTCAAATCTCAATACCGTATACCAAACAAATTAAAATGTTACAATGCCCTTGCGATCATACATCTTTAATTGGGAAAAAGTGTATGTTGAAAATATAAACGTATATAAAAGTAGCAACGAAATCCAAACAAGAAACAGTGACAAATTAACTCACTACATTCTATGAACGTATGATTGTTGAAGTACAAGTGTCAAACGATTAAGGGTAATTGGGTCTACTGCACGATAATTATGTAATTACAACTAGCTTTTTTAATCCGTATAATGTACGGAATTTTTAATTAAATTTTTTATAATTATAATTTTATTTTTTAATTATTTATCTAATATATAATTATATATTCATAAATATTAAGTTACAACTAAATGATAATTTATATATAATATATTATAAATGATATTGTTCATCTAAAATAAGTTTAAATTTTTATAAATTTTTAAGAATTACAAAAATTTTTTTTATTAAAAAATATTTTCTTCAATTTATTTGCTAAACACTAAAAATTTTGCTACTGTTTTTTTTTTATTTTATAAAAAATCGAGAATAAATATTTAAATAGTTAAGATTAATAATTGTTTTTATCATAATATTAACTAGGTGGTATATATATATCACTATAAAAAAATAAAAGATTAATGATAGTTTTGTAGTGGCATTTTACTTACAAACATTGTTAACTTCCGTATTTTTATAAAACTTAAGACGTTTATTATCAAAACACCATTAAATATTTAAATAATGGTGTTATTACTTATAAACGTCACTTAATACTTGATATTAGCGGCATTTATCGACTAAAATATCTTGAATAATCATGTCTTAAAAATTTGAGTGAATACTAAAAACATTTTTGACAGAAAACGGCTTGAATAATCCCGTTAAAAAATTATAGAGAATTACTTATGGCATTTTTTTGTAGACAACGCATTCAATAATCTCCTCATTAAAAAATGTATGCAATTATTAAAGGTATTTTCTACAAGAAATGACTTTAATAATTCTACCAAAAAATTTCACAGGTTTATTGAAAGTATTTTTGGTCAAAAACGCCTTCAATAAATATCATATCAAAATTTTAAGATCGTACGGATATTAACCATAAGATGATAGATTTGGTCCCTTCCTTTAACTTTTTTTGGGTTTTTGCAGAGATTATTTATAATTGATTATTCCAGACATTTTTTGGGCAAAAATGCTTTCACAAATTGCTTTAAAAAATTTTAGAGAGAATATTGAAGGCGTTTTTGGCAGGAAAAATGCCTTTAATAATTTATACGATAAATATTGAACCAATTCTTGAAGGCATTTTTGGTCGAACTCACCTTCAATAACCCAATCAATAATTTTTTAATTTGGATTATTAAAGGTAATTTTCTTGTCAAAAATACCTTCAATAATCTATACACAAAAGTTGAAACGAATTCTTAAAGGTATTTTTGTCTTAAAATGCCTTTAACATTTAAACTGATAAATTTGAATGGTCAGATTATTGAAAGCGATTTTTTTTTCAAAAACGCCTTCAATAACATTTTCTTATGGATTATTCAAGGTATTTTTGGTAAAAAAAAATGCCCTTAATAATCCATACGAAAAATATGGAAAAGATTATTGAAGGCATTTTTGGCTGAAAGCACCTTCAATAGTCCATTCAATTAATTTTTAATTGGTATTATTGAAGGGGATCTTTTTAAAAAACACTTTCAATAATCCACACAAAAAAGTTGAAACGAATTCTTGAATGCATTTTTTGCCCAAAACTCCTTTAATATTTCACACAATAAATTTTTAAGTGGGATTATTAAAGGTAATTTGGTAAAAAATACATTCAGTAACATTTTATTAGGGATGATTCAAGGCGTTTTCTTGCTAAAAACGCATTCATTAATCCCATAAAAAAATATTTTTGATATTGTATATATCAAGTCAATTGTAGGTTTATGCCTGAAAAATATTTGAAGTCAGTTGTATATTTATGCACAAAAAATATTTGGTTTATATATGTGATACTACGAATTATATTTTAAAAATTTACATAATGAACATTGTTGTATTTCAATAAATTGACCACACATCCAAATTTAAAACTGATAACGTTACCATATTAATATACTTTTCTGAAATAATCGTACTCAATAATATATTAAGTACACATAGTGTATTCATACTAAGTATACCAATAATATTAAACCAATACCTTAATCTACAAACTTAAATTTTTCATTCAACATGGCATGTTAAAAATATTATAACAATATGTTCCTCATATATTTGCATTCAACCAACAATGTCTAATCTCAAGGTTTATCAACATTGATAAATGATAATACATACTCACAGCATTCTTTACAGACTTCATTTAGTTCCTTTACCTTAAAGCTTTCTTTACCCTCCCACTAAAAAAAATATAAGAAGTAAATGTTAATAAATGAGAGCATAATTTAGCTTTTTATTTTTTGGAAGATATAATGAGTTTATAAAATTTATATTAACCTTAAATGGTGTGGTCACAAAATCATATAAAACTATCTCACGCATAAAACGAAAGATATAATATCCGCATTCAATATTATCGGGTTGACAAGGGACTTGAAAATTAAATTGAGTGAGTTTAAAAAATATTTATCTACATAAACTCAGCATAAAGGAATAAATTTTATATTTATCGATAATGACACCCATTTCAGTTTTTTTATCTTCTTATCGAATGCAGATATTATCCAAAATTAAAAAAAAAATTACTTAATACATAAATAAAATTACTTATGAAGAAACAAAAGATATATGATGATAAAAGTATTGCCATTTTACTAATTTATTTTTTATTTTTTGTAGTTGATGACAATGGTCAACGGAGGATCATAGGCCAAACAACTTTGAAAAAATTGTTTGCATTACCTTCGAACGAGTGTATTGTAGTGTCTGCAAACTCTTATATGTAATCAATTGGTGAAAAGGCTTAACTGATAGCTGAATTTCTAGGCATGCTTGCCCATAATGGAATGAAATTGCCTATTCATTATGAAACATGACATAAAGTTTCAGCAGCAGTTAAGGCCAATGCTTTAAACTTTATTGAGGTATTAGTATAATTAATTACATATAAAAAATTAATTATTTTAAATTTAGTTTATTGATTAAAACTTTTTTTTGTATTATTACAGTCAAGATTTGTACTTGAAATACCAACTTCATTTGTGCTTAAGTCATTGGAAAAGAAATGGAAAGATTATAAGCATAATTTGAAGAATAAGTATTTTGATCGAAATTCTATTGTAGAGACGACGATGGAAAATCTATCCCATAATGTGATTAAGTGACAATATGAATAATTAGTTAGATTTGGTTCTCAAGAAAATTAGAGGTACTAATTTATAACTTTGTATAGTATAATAAAATAATGAAAGTGTTTTATGCTTTAAATTGGTAATATTTGTATTTCTATCATATACACAATTATTTTGTATGACAGAAAAGAGAACAGATTATGATTGGTAGCAAAAAGTAACAGAAATATAGCCACACAAGTGAATCAAAAAGTTTTGCAAGAAAGCAAAAAGAAATAGTAAGTTTATGATTTTAAACTTATTCCAATGAATGAACTTTTTGTGCCATTAAAAGGTAAATATGCAAATTAACAATTATTATTCTGTTATAATAGTTTTGATAGTTTCAATACATAATATCAAACTTATTGAAAGTTTTGAACTTAGTTGACACGGATGATATGTATGAAAAAGCTATTGTTTATGTCTATTTAGGTAAAAATATAAATTTGTTGTTATTGTTCTATTTAAACAATTTGGATAGCTTCAATATTTGATATTAAACTTGTCCGATTGATTGAACTTGATTTCTATAAT